GCTGACTCGGATTATTCCCTAAATTAAGGGGATTACATGAAATCTATCTAAAAGTGGAGGCTCTATTTAACCTATTTAATTATGTCAAAATTAAAACACTAATCGAAGTTCGGGGACTAAAAAGGTCAAGTTCTAAAAACATCGATTTCTAAAAGATTTGAAAGTCCAAGGACCTAAATTGATAATTTCTAAAGTTAGGGGGCTAATTAATTATCAATTAATTTTAGAATCGAGCATCTTATGCGAAAACTCCACTCAAACTCCCTAATTAAACTAGAGTGTCGTCCTAATTGCTAAGCTTGATTCGAATGTTAAAATTATGAAAAACTGAAACATTTAATAAACTTAAATAAAAAAACAATAAAAAATAAAATAAAAACCCGAAAAAAACAACACAAAATAAAAAAAATAAACCTAAATATGAGGACCTAATTGCATAAATTTGAAATTACTAAACTAAAAGTAATAAATTAAACATGAAAAAGTGGCTAAATTAAAATAAATTGAAAATTAAAGTCTAATTAAAAATAAAATAAAACTAAACAGATTAGTGACTAAAATACAAAACACGCGTAATATACAGGGACCTAAGAGTAATTTTTCATTTTTATTAAACCTAAAAAGTAGTCTGTTAAATAAAAAGGTAAAATTATATAATCAATCCACATACATTTAAAAAAATTAAATAGTCACTACACATGACTAAAATGCAAAAACACGGTAAACTTGAAGGGACTAAAAAGAAATTTCACCAAAATAAATAAAAAAAATAGGCAAATAAAAGGGAAAATTACAGCTTTGGATCCTACTGGACTAAAATGTAAAAACACGCTAAAACCTGGGGAACTAAAACGTGAATAAACCAAAAAATATGCATGCATGGTAGAAATGTAAAATAGTAGTTTTGGTCCCTACAGGGACTAAATTGTAAAAACATGACAAAGGTTCAGGGGCCTTAATGCAATTAGACCCTTAAGTTTCTCTATATATACCAATAAATCCTTTTTTTCATTTTCATGCAAAACAGAAAAAGGGGAAAAGCTCTCCCTTCTCCCTTCGGCCGACCCACTGTCAGCTGCTGTGCCCCACCTCCGGTCGCCGCTTCGGCCGCCACACACGATGGATGGAAAATCTAAAACGACCTAAAACCTCCCCCCGAGCCTAGATCTAGCCTCCTAGAGCCTATTTTAGGGCTTAAAATACCCGAAAACACCTTAGAACTACCTGGAAATGCCCTAAAACCTTTCGGCTACCCGGACTCCGGTGACCCTCCGACGACCCAAGTAAGATTTCGACTTTACTCCTTTTTATTTTTGTATTATTTTTATTGTGAAATAATGGTTTATTGGGATGCTTGTGTATTGTTTTGCAGGGTGGTGTAGAGTGCTTGATGCTGCCAATGTGCACGGTTGATTGGGGCAAGAGCAGGTGGTTTCTGATCGGAGGGAAAATGGTGGGATTTGATTGGGTATAGTGGGCGGTTGCCCAGCTGGATTAGACCCGGGTTGGGTTTAGGGATTTTAACTGGTTTGGGTTTGATTTTGGTTGAGTTTTAATATTTGAGTTTAGAGTGTAAAATGTAAAAGGGGTTTGGACTTCTAGTTGTTTTAGAAAAATGGGACTTACAGATATAATTCCTTCGTGACTAATAACCAATTATTCTAGTGGGATGAGGTACTAGATTTGTTAAGCAAGGTCAAAGATGCGAAATATAGTGTTTACGAATAGAGCAAATTGGGTTCGAATTCCTTAACCAGTTAATCTGGTTTTGAAAGTTTTGATTTGCAAATATGATTATGAATGATAAGTCATGAATTACTTTAATTTAAATCGATGATTTTGATGATGGACGTGTTGCTATGAAATATGTTTAAAGATCATAAATGATTAGATGCTCGTTAGCACAAATTTATTAGATGTATTGAGATAATTTCAAGAATGTTGTGAAATTGATTTGAAAGATAATAATGATTTAAGCAATACTTCAAAACATTGAGTTTATGTTATTTTAGTCAGATATATTGATTTGATGTTAACATTGAAATTATTGGATATAATTGGCATACCATAGAATTGAATATACTCAAAATAAAGACTTATTAGTCTAATTGGTAAAGGATAAAGACCATTGTTTTGAAAATCGGACTGGACTGGCCGGTTCAATCGGGAACCGTTGCCTAGTCCGATTCAAACTAAACCGGTTGAATCGTTATTAGTGAACCGGCCGGAATCGTTGAGCCGTTCGAATCGTTCGAATCGGACCAGCTGAAAATCGGGAAAAACCGCCAATTTTTTTTTAAAAAAAATTTTAAACCAAACGACATCGTTTGTTAAACGAGCCAAGTCGAACTCGAGTATTGCTGAGCTCGACTCAAACTTTAAAAGTAAGCTCAACTCGACTCAAACTCACGAACTAAAAATTATCAAGTTCAACTCGAACTCGAAATATAATATTGAAACTTGAACTCGAAAAGGCTTGAACTCAAAAAAAATTAGAAGCTCGATTGAAGCCTAAAATTCGAGCTTGATTGAAGTGAAAGAATAGTTCACTCTATGCTCACCAAAAGGCTCCATGATTTTGAATGTCAAATTACCTCTATTATTTATAGAAGTTAGTTGGGATGCTCTTCTATGTTTCTTAGCCATGTGGATTGTTTTGTTCTCATATTTTTACTCTTTAGACTTTTGGGATGTTCTTCTATGTTTCTTAGCCATGTGAGATTATTTGAAAAATAATATTATTGACTCATTTATACTTTTATTGATACGTTATCCTTAAAATACATTATTTTATTGAAAATTCATTTTCCACATGAATTTATTGACTCATTTATACTTTTATTGATACGTTATCCTTAAAATACATTATTTGAAAAATAATATTATTAATATATTTTATAATGTTAGATTTTATTTGATTTATTAAATAACATTATAATGTGAAAAAGAATATTAAGAAATATATGTGTATATCTTATATGTTAGAAAAAGTCGATAAACTAGAATCAATTCATACTATAATATTATAAATTTTTACAATAAATTTATATAGAAACTCGAATAACTCAACTCGACTCGAAAAAAATTTAAACAAAATTTGAGTCATAAAATACGATTCGTCAACTCAAATAATATAAATTTTTTTACTTGACTCAATTAAACACTCACCCCTATAAACACAGGTTCGAGGTTAACTCCACGTACAAAACAATTACAAAATTTTGAGTATTAACCATTACACCAATATAAAGGATATGAAAATTAAGATAAGATAAATAGTTTTTATAACTTTATTATTTTTCACCTCGTGTCTTAATTTCCAGTACTTATTAAATTTAATCTCATAAGCTAAATAATTTATGTAAATTCAGTTAATGAAATTATAAAAATAAAAACTAAAGTAGAAATCATAAAATATTAAGAGATTACATTTGGCCGATTAATATTTCTTTAGGTCAGAGTTTAATATTTATCTTTCTCCCCTTATAATTATTTCATTCATCTCTAAATAAGATTAAGATTAAATTTAAAATTTATTAAAAAACCATAAAATATTTGTTTATAAGGTCACGAAAGTCTTTTACAACTTCACAAAATTAAACTCCAAAGTTATTATTTTAAATGTCCATATTTATTATATTAACCTTTAAAATTCCATTTGTAGTTTTGAATTTCCCGTTCGAATTTAAAAAATCTAATCAAATATTAAAAAAGGGAAAGGATTAATAGAAAAAAGGGGGAAGGAAAAAGAAAGGAGGTGGTTGGGTGGCGATGGTGGTGGCCAACTATAAATAATAGAATTTAGAAAAGGTGAAAGAAAGGGGGTGGGTAGCGTTAGATGGACGCAGAGACAGAGAAGGGACGGTGCCGAATCTTTATAAGGAAGTGGACCCTTACCAGGTCAGGTGTACATCTAAACCCAACTTAACGTACATACCCCTTGCCTTTGCTTGCTTGCCCTGTGCGTGCCAAAAATATTTCATCATCCAATTCGTTGATTTATTAATTTGATTTATAAATTTAAATATTTGATATATATATATATATATATATATACACTCTTTTATTTTTAGAAAATTTAGATTATATATTAAAAATAGATAACCATATTACATAAAAAATTTAATCAAAAAGAAACAATAAAAAAATAATGAAAGAAATAAAAAATAATGAGTGACAATTTATACAAATTTTAATAAAAAAGAAACTAACTCATGGTACATGTCGAAAATACGTAATTACATGAGCATAAGCACAAACCGAACTAATAACACGCATATATAACCTTGTTTTCAATTACCCAATGCATAATGTGTAAAATACTATATTTTTATTAATAAAATACTATATTTTTTATTAATAAAATACTACATTTAAACACTTTAAAACTATATATATATATATATATATATATATATATAATGAGATTTGTCATGTGATAAAAATTATGTCTTAAAGTGTTCAAATAATTTTCTACACATATATTTGTTGAGTGATTAAAGATAAAATATACACATGCGTTATGACTATTATTCGATTGAATCGTACAATTAAATGTTTTAAACCTATATTGCATCCATTTTATTTTCAAAATAAAATTCATACAAATTTTTATTTATTATTTTTCATTTATTCTATTTTAACACCCAAATAATCTATCACGCAGATAAAAATATGCCTGTGTGAAAATGTCTTCTAAAAGACATGTTTTAAAGAGGACATTTTATATGACCGAAATAAGTACTATTCTGAGTTATAATTTTTTTAAACCCTGTTTTAGTAAAAGAAAAAAAAAGAGTGAAGATATTATTTAGATGAATATTGAAATTGTCAAAAACTGAACGAAAACGTGCCCTCTATAAACTGAACCCGACGTGGCAGCACGTGATCAGACGACAGAATGTTTCGTAGGTTAACTCAATATACATCATAAACACAGAATTAATTCTCAGCTGGGCAGGTCTCACCGTAATAAAAGGACCTTTGCCCGCCCCCTCCATTTTCAACTATCGTCGTCGGAGGAGTTCTCTCTATATTTTATCCTCCCTTTTCCTGCGCCCTCGATTTCTATCCTTTTTTCTCCTTTCCGAACAACCTGAAACAAGATGGTAATGTTTCAGCTTCTTTTTAACTTAATAGTATATTATTAAATTAATTCATATCGTATTTTTGTGTAATTTCATCGGAATCAGACTGAATCGTTATTTCTTTTTAGTTTTCAATCAATAGTTCATCCTAGAGTTAAGTCATATCTCTGCTATTTCGTGTAATCTATTAGCAATCCGACTTGATCTTCTCTTTTTTTCTTTGTTGAAATTTGTTTTAGTTTTAAAACAATCGTATATCCTTGAATTAAACCATATCTCTACTATTTTTGTGTAATTTCTTATCCGTCGGATTGGATCGTTTCCTTTTTGTGATTTTTCATTCTTAAGTTTGTGTTTCGGTTGGTTAGTTCATCTCTTTATTGATGCTTGGAAATTCGTGGAATTTTTTTCATGCATATACTGTTTTTTTTTAGTTTCTAGATCTTAGAATTTTAAATCTATAGTTTGTGGTTTGATGATGTCGAAATTTATGATTATATTTTTATTTTGTATCAAATTAGATGTACTTAATTTGTGCTGAAACAGAATCCTCGTTTATCTAGATTCTAGCGTCTTTAGCTGCTTGATTAATGTATTTATATGTCGATCCAATCTGTCTGCACTTATAATTTGGATCCTTGTATTTTGTTACCATTACCGAAGCCAAAAAAAGTGAAATCTTATTGGATATTGTTTAAAATATTGACATGTTGATCCAATCTGTCCGCACTTGTAATTTAGGTCATTGTATTTATGTTTGTTATTATTATTTCTTTTCTATTACTGAAGTTAAAAAAGAATCTTGTTTTAGTTATCCAAACATAAGATTATGATAGCAAAGAATAATTTTGATGTTCCATTGCGAAGCACAAACAGCTGATTTAGGATGTTCTTAAGGCAACATAAGATATGATCCTGAATCCTAAGGAGATGTTATACTAACATAGGGGGCAGTTGAAAGAGGTCGAGTTAGAATTTAATGTAAAGAGAATATAAGTGCGACTTTTGTTTTGTTTATTTATCGTTCATTTTGTTAGGACCAACTCACAGTGATATAGAGTATAAGACTAGTTGACGTTTTCTTCATGTTTGTCCCCTTTTTTTCTATCCCTTTCTAGGATGGTTGCTGATGTTTCATTTGTATGCTATTGATGTTATTAAACATAGGGACTGACTCGGACATTTGTTTTGTCATGTGATATCATTTTAATCCTCAGGCCAACGCTGCATCAGGAATGGCTGTGCATGATGACTGCAAGCTGAAGTTTCTGGAGCTTAAGGCAAAAAGAACCCACCGCTTCATTGTTTTCAAAATTGAGGAGAAGCAGAAGCAAGTCACTGTTGAGAAGCTTGGTGAGCCAAGCGAGAGCTATGAGGATTTTATCAAATGTCTTCCTGCTGATGAGTGTCGATATGCTGTGTATGATTTTGATTTTCTAACAGCCGAGAATGTCCCAAAGAGCAGAATCTTTTTCATTGCATGGTACTGCAATTTTCTTGATCACCTGAATCATGTTTAATACCTCGTGTTTCATTGTTTCCTTTTTTCACTTACTATGTTGTTTTCCTATGAAGGTCTCCCGATACATCGAGGATCAGGAGCAAGATGATATATGCTAGCTCCAAAGACAGATTCAAGAGAGAACTGGATGGGATTCAGGTGGAATTGCAAGCAACAGATCCATCTGAGATTGATCTCGATGTTTTCAAAAGCCGTGCCAACTAAATACTTAAATGTTTATAGGTTGTCGAACGGGAACTTGGATAATTTACGATGCTAAATTTCTGAGTTTTTTCGTATTAGTCTTGATGATAAACCCGTACTTTTGGGTATATGTGATTTGTTATCTATTGAACCTATGTGTTGAGAGTGTCTCTGCGTAGTCTTATCGCTTCAAGCTAATATGGAACAGTTTGTGAGGGGTTAGACAACACATTTTCAACTTCGTTTCTTTTTTATTTCTTTGAATATTCTCGTTTATTTGTTTCGGAGTGTTAAAGGGCATGCTTTCATGGCTTCTGAGTTGCAGATATTTTGCCATTGTTTATGACTCCAGGTTTGATTTCAAATATATTTGTACAAGATTTTCCCTCGATGATAGCTGTTGGTAGATTGAATTAATAATTGAGGCTTCATCATGTTCTCAACTAATATCTTTCTCTCGCTTGACTAGTTTGCATTGTTTTGTAGCTAGTTTGGCTGGTGGAAATAAAATTAGAAAGAAATAAATAAAGTAGAAAGATAAAAAAAACTAATATTTTTCTAAAAGTTAGCTGATTTTATTTTCATATGTAATGGGGTGAGGGGAGAGGTAAGGTAGTAGGTTGTTCCCAACGCCAGGTTGAGAGCAGTTTCCGCGGAAAACTTCCAGTAGTCAGAATTATGAATTGCCCATCGTGAGACTCGATCTCACGACCACAAGGTTAAGAGTATTGCGCTCTAATGTTTTTCTAAAAGAATTATACAAAAATTTAAAAGATGTAACCTTTTTTTTTTATCCCTTATTAGAGTTAAAAATGATTTTTTTCTATTAAATGATTCATTTTTATACATGAGTAAAAAATGATAGTTTGATCTATTTTTCTTGGATAAAGTATACAAATGGTGATTATAGAGTGTTGTTTTGTCGAATCACTTAACTATTAAAAATTATAAAATAGTTCTCCGATTATATGATATTATTTTATTGACTCTCTGACTATTAAAAGTTACAAAATTGTCACTTGACTATTCATATGTTTCAGACTCGTCATTTTCTATTAAAAAATTAATTGTCGTTTGAGTTAGACGTTAATCTATTGACCGTGATATGATAAAATTATATTTTAATGATGTCTACTAGTATCGTCGTTACTTTTAAGTACCGGTTTGACGGTATAATGTTTCAAGCACTAGTTCGACGATATAATATAAACGGAGACTCGATTTACAAAATACACTTCAAACGATTCTGGAATTAAATTTTATCATATCTCAATTAACAAGTTAACATCCAACTCAAAAGATCGTCATTTTCTAAATGAAAAATGACGAGTTTGAAATATATAAATAGTCAGTTGGTCATTTTGTAACTTTTAATAGTCATAGAACTCAACAAAACAAGTAAACAATGTACTATAGTGGGAGACCCTTTTATAACTTTTAATAGTCGATGAGTTCATCAAAATAACACTTTATAATCAGAAAACTATTTGTGTAGTTTATCATTTTTTTTAACTTTTCTTAAATATCAAATATACTTAAAAATTATTTTCTCACTATATTTTTTTTACTTCTTCCGACTAAACGAAAATTTAACTCTGATTAGATAATACATTCAGGTTCTATCCACTTATATATCTTGTTGGTTGTGGATTGATGTTCAAATTCATATGGGCATAGAATGATGTTTCTAGTTTAAGTTAGTTTCGATGTGTTTTTGACTGAGTATGCTACCATTCATTTTGGATTATATTAATACGCAGAAGTGGTAGTTTATATAAGATATTAATATTTTAATATATTTGTTATTTATATGTAATTGAAATATGAGTAAACTATACAAATGATCCCTTATAGTTTTGATTCGTCCACTTTTAGTCACCGATTCAAAAATAGTGACTTTGATCTTTAACGTTATCGATTTGTTTGGTTTTAGTATCTCAATCGTTAACTCCCGTTAATCCATTACTAAAAGTCTAAGTTGACAATTAAAAAATAAAAAAAGTCAACATATAATTAAAAAATAAAAAAAATATACACGTCTCTTATTTTTCTTCTTCTTCTTTCAAAAATAATTTTTGAAACTTAAGAAATATTCGTCTCAAAAAAAGCTTCAAGAAATAATTCAATAAAAAAAGTATATTTTAGGAGAAAAATGAACCTTTAAACCTACAAATAACCCCTTCTCGGTCATTTTATTATTCTCTTTGTCTAAACTAAGTAAAGTCAGTGACTAAAAATGACTTATTGAAATTAATTAGTTGGTATCTCATGTACTAAAATATGATGACCAAATATCATTCCTACCATATGTAGCATTATCGTATTAATAATTTAGAGACAAGTTATATATATATATATATATATATATATATGTTGTCTTTGAATATTTAGATTGAATTTAGATACGCAATTTATATTTGTTGATAATTTTCTCACGTCTCTCGATTTTAATTTATGATTTGTCGGTATATGATTTTTCAATAGTTTAATTCCCTTTTGTGAGTCGTTTGTCGATACAATCAGATCTATTTATATCTATTTTTTTAATTTATTTAGTTAGGTTTTTTAACCTTTTCCTTTGAACAAAATATTGATAAATTATAATCAATACACTAAAATATATCGATATTGATAATATTAGATTACGCTACGCAGATAATTACTTAATTATTAGTTTGTTTCTATTTCATTCATCAAACTACAAATATTTTCAGTTTCGTCACTAATATTTTTTGTCTCTAACGTCTTGCCAACTTTATCACTGCCTCAGTTTATTCTCCGATTCTAAAACTTTTTCATTGATCAAAATTAGTACTAGTTAGTTGTTAATGGTATGGACTTAATGAAGAGTTGTTAGATCATTTCGTCTCTTTAGTTAACAATTATTTGGTTATCTTATCGAATTATCAATTCTTAAAACCTTTAAATTGATTTTCTCATAGTAATGTGTGCTGACAATCACCCAGAATATGTCACGCTTGAGTTGCAATGAAGTCATTTGTAAACATACACTCATATTAAACGATCGAAACAACTGAAGAACAAACGATCGGAAACATTAGTGATAAAAGTGACATATTTATCCTGGGATAGGGAGAAAAAAATACGAGACATGTTTGATTTACAACCGATGTATTAAAAACGAACTCATGTTAATTACGTTGTACAAAATCAGAGTAATTCCAAAAGTGAGGTCAAGAGAAAAAGAATATTGAAAATGACATGAAATATGCCCCTTGAAGAGTTTAAAATTGTTGACGGGTAACATACTAATTATTCCACGCTTTAACGAATTTTGCTTTTTAATATATTAATCAGTATATTCTTAAACGAAACATTGATTTCTAATATATTAATCATAAATGCTTTGATCATCACCAAAAAGCAACAGCCACAGCCGGCACAGCTAACGCCACCAGCTCTTTCAAAGGCCGGCCTTCATGTCTAGTTTTATTTTTCTTCTCGTAATTCCATTGAACAAATTCTAATATAAATTTTAATTTTTTGATGGTTACTTCTTCAACAAGGTAAGCTGTTCATTAAAACTTGGGTTTTGATTGTGTTTTAAGAAAAGATGGCTGGGAACTATAGATTTGCCATGGATCAAAAGGGTATTGTAAGGACACTGATCACAACTGTGGGAAGTTTCACTCAAGATCGGCTGATCGACAAAGAACAAAGGGTCCAACACAAAGAACAGTGTGCTGAGAGATTAGCTGCTGAAGATGGAAGCTCGGGGAATGATACCGAGGTTCGATATTCCGATCAAGCTGTGCTCGCGAATCTCGACTGGGGAATCGATGCCCTTGAAGAAGCTATCAATACATCCAATATCGAAACCAAGCATGCCAGGTTAGATTATGCTGAGAAGATGCTTCATGTGTGTGCTATGTTGACTTCGGATCAGAAAACTGCTGGTGTCCCTAATCCTTACCTATCTGCGTGGGCTTATTTGAACCTTTCGTACCTATGGGAACTGCGTAACAATGTCCATAACTCGGTTCTTCATGTTCTCGAGATGTTTATAGTTGAACCCTTTTTTTCGAGGATCGATTTTGCTCCCGAACTTTGGAAAAAACTGTTCCTCCCACACATGAGCTCAATTGCAGGGTGGTATGCAGAGGCTAGGCATAGGCTTATGATGGAAGTAGTCCCTGATTCTTCTGATATGTCTTTTACTGCTGATTTGGATCAATTCTTCAATGAGTCTTTGGTTTTCTCGATGAGGCCGGATCAAATGGAGAAATTGAAGAAACTCGAGCAACTTTATAGCGAATCATTAGACGAAAATACACGATTGTTTGCCAAATACTACAAAGATTGTATGAATTCCGATTCAAGTTCGGGTGCAGGCAAGAAAGTTATGGCTCCTATGTTACCGATCGCTGAGCCACCAATGACTCCTCTACATGAGGTGAGCCGGTCGATCCCCAATTATGTAAAATTTGGTCCTATACTACCTAAAAGCGCCGGATTTTCCCCAGTTCTCAAATCTAAACATGGTGGAAGAGAAGGAAACAACAGGTTAGCTTCAATTACTAGTGAAATACTAAGTGACTTTGTTTTTCAATTTACTTCTTACCATGTTCATGTGCACATTTGGTTGTAGCAGAGTGAGTTTAAATTCTTCAGCTTTTCTGCATGACATGGATGAATCTGCTGCATGGGATCCTCGTGTAAGGCCGAAATTTGAATCGATACAATTATTTCGTTATCGATAATATGGATGATTTTTTTTAGTCATGCCTTTTCCTTTTATGACCCCAGGGTGGTGTACCTGAGGGAAACGAAGATGATTCGGATTATGAAGCCAATGATGGTTCCATTGGATCATCGGTTCAACAACAGACGAAAATTAATCGAACTCGATCCCCATTGATCTTTTCACCTGTAGATTCACCTAGAACATCTTCCTCGAAAACTTCATCCCCGAAGTCCGATGTGAACACTAGGAAGGAATCAGGATCGTTGTTGCGTCTTTTATCGTGTCGTATCGCTGCTCCAAGTGATGCTATCTCCTTGCCTATCTCACCTAGCAAGAGTAGTCATAGCATAAGCTCAGCAGATTCGGATGGTGAAGTGATAGTATGTCACAATTCAGAAAATACCAAAAAAGAATTTTCATTTCATTTGTTTCTTAATGCATTTGAAGCTGAAATGTTTAACACTTGGAAATGTAGGAAACGCCAAAAAGTTGTAGGAAGAACGGCGGTCGGCCTTCGAGTACGAGTTACGATTATGTGAACATCAAAACATCTGAAAACAGGTAAGAAACTTGCTATACTAAAGGATTTCAACAGTCATTTTGTGATAATTTTGTACTTCCTATTGTTTCTCAGTTTTCAGAATGAAAGTGATGAAGGTAGCCTTAGCTGCGTTTCGCT